ACCCAAAATGCCAAATTGCAGAATGTGAAAAGACCGAAGAACTTTGAAATCACAACAAAGTTCAAGTCTCGGTCAACACACTTATACATATACATATACATGTGTGTACAAATCTTTTTAGGGGTTTTCTGTATGAAAAAAAGGGAGATGGACAGAATGAGATAAAGAGGAAGTAACAGACATTTTTACAAGGTGCCGTGAAGGGAGTTTTTAAGCTGTAGTATGCTTTTCATTGGACTGGTTCATTCATTGGTGCTAAAAATATACAGTGTATTTCTTTTTAATCCCCTGCCAGGTAATAAAACCCTAATTGATTATTGTGATAAAATGAAATAAACCTTCAGCTGGATTTTATGACTCCAAACTTCCTGCAGAGTTTGGTAAGCAGGCTAAGGGTGACTATCGGGGCAATGCTCTGTAGAATCACACTCAGAGAATGACCTCACATCAAACATAACACAGTGGTTGGCTTTTGTGTTGCCATTCTTTTATGACCATGGTTATTTCATTAAGCATAGCAGTGAGATATTTGGGATCGAAAGGAGCATTGAATAAAAACTGTTTTCTGTCTTGCTCAGTCAAGAATATCAATAACAATTTCATGCCTTGGGCTCCTATAGTGTGATACGTCCAGCATGTGTTTGCATGGCTTAGCACAAGGACTGGAGCTGCTCCCTTCGTGAATGGTGAAAAGCAGCGACTCCAGCTGTATTATTGCCATGTTATCTCATATATTCTCAGGTTATATGTTATTTATTTCTGTGGCTTTAAAGGCAGTTACAACATTGGATTTATTAAATAACCTTTTATGAATCCACCCAGCATCTCTGCAAAGCATCTCCAGCGACAGCAGGTGTTCCATGTCCATTTTGTAAATAACGTCAAACGGCATTCAGACTGCCATCTGCATACTACTAGCGACTGCTGTATGCAGGAAGTACTACATACTGTATACTGCCACTACCCATTACAAATATATAATGTTTAAGTTAAGCCTGCTGAGATAACTGTTGATATCACAAAGCCAGCAAAGTTAATAAAAAAAACTGATTATTAACCTTTGCAAGCTGTCAATAAGAAAACAACATGACATACATAGCTTAAATCTAATGTTGAGCAGTTGTATTCCTTCTTGTCCACTACTGACACATGGATGTTGCTGTCTGCCATTTCAACAATGAATGACTGTTGAGGCTGCCTGATTAAATACATTTTTTAAAATAGATTTGTTTTTAATGCCAGTTGTGGCAGTTCTAGCGCTTTGCATTGTGGGACAAAGTATGTGAGACTGGTGTGATGCGTACTGGAGATTTCTTCTGAATCAGTACAACATTCTGGTATTTTTAGGATACTGAAGATTTAGCTTTTGTTTTGCATACTACACTTTGGCTAAATCAGTACACAATGCTAATATAGTAGACTGATTCTAATACAGCCTTTGAAATGGGAAACACTTAGCATATGAGATATGTTTTACACAGGCACTGGTTATACAGTACATGCACAAAATCCATCCATCCATCCATCCATCCATCGTCAACCGCTTATCCTGCGTACAGGGTCGCGGGGGGCTGGAGCCAATCCCAGCTGGCATCGGGCAAAACATGCACAAAATGATTATTCAAATTATTCAAACCTCTGAGCCAAACTTATGTTGGGTGGACTGAAAGCGTTAGTCTGTTAGTCGATTTCTTTATGTCAAGTTATGTTATGTTAAGACTTCACCTATAGACAAGCAATCAGTCTTAAAACATTTTCTTTTTCTGGAGACAATAACAGTTTCATTGCATGTCAAATTTGATCTAGAATTATTTAGTATATGTCCTGGAGAAAGAAAGAAGCAAAATTGCCATTGTAAACTACATGTCCAAATACCTAATCAAAGCATATGATTTTATTAAACCAATAAGCCTCAGTGACTTTCTACAGCTTGACAGTGATTAGAATCAGGCCAGAAAAGGGTGCAAACAAAGTCAAGGATATCCTCACCGCACCCTGCCTCAGCAGGCGAGCTGCCTGCTGCCTCATGCGCAATGCTATGCTCGCTATTTTCCATCGTTCGGTCTCATTCCAGCTCTAATTTAAAAAAAAAACATGTTTATTTAAAACATGCGGCCCCTCTCACACCTCTTTCTCTCTGTTTTCACCACTTTTTTTTCTCACTTTCTTTCATTTCCCTTGCCTCCACCAGTGTTCCTGTCTTTTTCTCAGTTATTCCTCCCCCTTGCTTTCCCTTTGTTTGTCCTCTCCAGCATGTGTCCTGTCCTGTGGTCTTTCTTTAGTGTCCATATGCTCTTAGAATTAAAAGGGGGGAACGGAGGTAGAGAGGAGGTGGGCAGTTCAACCCTCCTCCTGAGGGAGCATCTGCTTCTCTCTTTCCTTTTGTTCACAATCATCTTCCTTTCTCTTTCTCCTCTCTCTCTCTCTCTTTCTCTCTCTCTCTGCGGACTAACAAACAGCTCTGACCTCAGACATTTGGATACATTACAGAGGAGCAACATGATATAAAACAAAAAAATATGGAGCCAAATGACAAATCAGGTTAGGGATGTGGCTGAACTCCAGTACATCACAAACAATTGCAGATAATTGAAATAGCTATTCCTCACATATGTTGTAATCTGACAGAACCACCTTTTCTATTCTGATATTCTCTGATATCATGTATATTAACATTTGGGTAAAATTAAAGGTCATGGTCCCCACGTGCTCTTCATCACATCCTACAAAATGTTTGAGTTCAACTGCTATGCTATTTATAATATAGTTTTACGTCAGATAACTAAAACATCATGTTCTCAGTAATGAAGGTCAGTATAAGCACAATTTACCAAAGGAACAACTTGTGAGAAATTATTAAATTAAAAAACTGATGCTTTTATGTTGTACCTCAAATGTAAGTCGCTTTGGATAAAAGCATCGGCCAAATCAGTAACCAGTCAGTCAGTTGGTGTGTTTCAATCCTTTTGCCGTTTGTAAGAATGCATTTGTAACACTTTAACCAGCATGTTTAGCATTTATAAGAGGCATTCAAAAATGATTGATAACGCACTATAATGTAGTTGTACGTAGCCGTAAGGACATTTAAGGACATTTTGAAGTATTTATTAATGTACATTATTTGTCAGCAATTATAAATTCTCAAATGAAGACAAATTTATAGTGTTTTCCTGTTTACAACCAAAACCATTCATTAAACAGGTGGTATTATGTTCATTTTCAGGTTCAAAATCTTAATTAGGGGTTGTACCAGAACAGGTTTACATGGTTTAATTTTCAAAAAACACCATATTTTTCTCATACTGCACATTGCTGTAGCTCCTCTTTTCACCCTGTGTGTTGCACGCTCCGCTCTTGAGCTACAGAGTGATGCATCTTACTTGTACAAAATCTTTGTTGGGAGTTGCACATGCGCAGTTCCCAGGTAAGGAGTACTAGCCAATCAGAAGCAGAGAAGGGCGGGTCGTAAGAAACAAGGTGGTGTGATCCAAATCAAAGCCGCTTCAGACTGTAACCTAGCAGATGGTATAAGTTACTCACAAGTCCACAACCACACAACATCATTGTTCCACATTTAACCATCAGGATTAAACGTTGAACTGTTGCCGGTGTTCTGATGATCTATGCTGCCTTGCCGAAGAACCCAACTTCAGCTAGATTAACAAGAAAGATATGCTCATCTAAAGCAGGGCAGTTTTTCTTAGTTGTACAAAAGCTTTTAATCGGAAGAGTTTACAAGAGCACAGTTGAAGGTCCCCATACACATAAACCCAGGTATAGTAAGTAAACAACATGGTAATATTGCATTAAGCTGGTTATTCCCAGGGGGCATCATGGTGACTCAGCACTGTCACCACACAGCAAAAAGGTCGAGGGTTTCCTCCCACAGCGCAAACTGCAAACTCTGAATTACCACTAGAGTCATAGGGAATAGTGGAGATAAAGAGTCCCATGTTAAAGCGTAACTTTTCAACCTGGACCTTACTTCCCTTTGTTTTTGTGTCTATGTGACTAACTGGGACAACATTTTTTAGAAGAAGAGAAGAACATACTTTATTGTCACATAGCAAAATTCATCCTCTGCATTTAATCCATCCCTGAAGGGATTTAAACCCACAACTGTCTTGCTGTGAGGCCACAGCACTAACCACTGCACCACCATTTTTGAAATTGGTCTTGTATTGACCTAGCACCCTGCGTCAGCTGCCGGGAGACAGGGCTGCAACGTAATCCTTGAGGGCAAGTGCTTGTTTTTGCCACTGACAGATTCAGATTGTTCTTACATGTGTTTGACAACACTGTGGACAGGATCCCTACATAAACAGACCTTTTTTTTTAAAGAGTGAGATTTTTTGTTTAATAATAATAATCACCATATCTCTCTCATTAACTGCCACCAGACTCAGTTGATAAAATCAGTAATTCTACCTTGAAGTACATGGGAGTTACTGGCCTTCCGCTGCCTTGGTCGGTTAGGTAGTTTGTGCTATTGTGTGACTTGATTGTTTTAAATGATTAAAACCACAGTCACACATTAACACAAACTAACCAATCACGGCAGTGCAGCCAAGAGAAGTAAAATTACAGTGGCAAAAACAGACACTTTAGTGGACGACGGGGCGCACTGGCCCGCAAATATTACATTGCAGCCCTGTTTCGCTGCAGGGCACTGGGGCAATACTGGACCAATTTCAAAAACTTTTGTCCAAATTAGTCACATTGACACATAAACATGGGAAAATATGGTCCAGGTTGAAAAATACAATATATTATACCAATATATAAATTACTTTTTACTACATTTATGTAACCAGGTGATATAGTCAAACCTTAAATATACAGGAGATTCAAGTTTCAAAACCTCTATTGGCACAATTTTCTGCTGTAGCGAGAATGCTGCAGGTGTTGATTTTAGACAGCAGAGGGCATAGCGTTGCTGACTCAAAACAGCCGCGTGCTTGCCGAGAGGTCAAGGGGCACCGGGAAAATACAGGAAGTAAATTGCGCTATTTTGCATGGACTGGCTGCTGCTGTTATCGGTGAGAACATTTATTAATAATGTTATGTTCTTGTGAGTTATTACGCACAATATGCCAATGTGTTTGTCTAGTGGTGTATGATGTATGTATTAAATTCCACATTGTATGCAGTTGTTGCATATAGGATAGCCAATGCTTGTGGAAGAAACCCTACGTGTGGGCCATGAGAGCTTGTTATCCGTGAGTTAGGTATGAAACGGAAGTTACCTAATGAATGTTGTTTTTATTTGTATAACTAATGTATCTGTGTATGGACATATTGTTTCGTGGTTGGCTCAACTGATGTGTAATGTTTACTGTGCAGTGTTGTAATTGTTTTTTTTGTCCTCTTAATAGAGGTGCCACTGCCGTATTTTTGTAACCGTGTTTATACCGCTTTATGTGCCAACTTTGGGCTGTATTCTTGTATATGTAATAGTTGCTGCATCAATGCCACGTGTATGCAGAAGTAGTATTGAATTTCTATTTTCGACTCAAAGAAGACCATTTTATTTTCTTTGTTTGTTTTTGTACATCCCCCAGTTACTCCATTTTTGCTTCATTTTACAAAAAATTACCAGCCCTGAAGGTGGGAAAACAATAAAAAAAAAAAACGCGAATCGTATTTGAAGTTGTGTGTGTAACTTGTCCCGGCTTCATTTAATACAACTATAGATTATTGTGGTGTGTTGATTTGTGAGCTTTAGTGGTGTTGGCAACTTTTGTTACTTTTAACATTTATAACTTTTATAATTAACTAATGTCAAACTTTTCATTTAACTCTCAGCAAGAAAGTGAGTATGTGTATTCCCAAATATGTCAAAATATTACTTATTGACAATTGATGAATCTGACTCTATAGGTGCTTACAGCTTGTAAAAGTTTTTTTAGCTATTTATGTCCAGATCATTTTAGATTTGATAGATGTCTCACTGTGTAAACACACGTTTGCTGATTGACTCTACAGATCAACTCCACATATCTGTCAATAAACGCAGAGAGCAGCTGAAATGTTATGCATTCAATATGTCCATAAATTACCAATAAACCCAACAACACACCCCGAGAAGTAATTTTCCATGAGCTATTCCAGAATATGACTGGTATAAAATTTCATATCTCCAAACGATGCATTGAAACATCACATGAAATACATCAGCCTTGTGTTGCTCACGAGAGGCTGAGCAGCTGTTTAAAGTGAGCCGAGTAACAAATTTGGGCCCCTAAAACACAGGCGACATGTAATGTATGTCTCAGCGGGCGCAATAAATACTGTAATAAAATTATGATAGTGTCAATGTTTCCAACCTCACCGAAGGGGGAGAAGTGAAGCGAGGTCCAAGCACTTATGTCAGAGACAAGGTCTTTTGTTATGTGACAAATTTGAATGGGTCCTATTTATATGTGATATTTAACCCAGAGTATTTAATCAAATTGAGCTCTATTAATGTCTGTGGTGGATGATGTTGCCATGCTTTTCACCACTGATACATAAAAACACCATCCTTCTGCCAAAATTATGAAACTATGCTATTTAATGTCACTTGATGTCAGATTTTTACCTGTAAAACCTGTATTTTTAATAACATGGAAAACTGGAAAAGTCACTTCTATTATATTGTAGTATGACAGGACTGAACCCCATGCTTTTCTATGATTATGTAATTACCTTTTAAATACCTTTTTAATACCTCTCACATACTATGTCATTAAAGTTGTCTTAACCATAGTTCAGCTCTTGCCTTTCTTGTGTATAAAATTATGTCTTCAACCCTCCTTCCATTATCTGCTCTGTTCCGTTCACACAAACACAGGCTAAATCTGCAGGGCACCATCCTCGCTCTGCTGACTCAGACCAGATCAAGGCGTGGGGAGTCTTCTTTTTGGCATCGGGGCAGGAGAGAGGATCTGGAATTACTGGGCATCGCGCCATGTGATGATGGTGTCTCACTTGTTTTGTATGTGTAAACGCATAGCAGCGAGCTTTACATCAATAAGACGCAAAGGAGTTTCCTCACTGCGTAGGAAAAGGTGTGTGTGGAGCACGTTTCTGTATTGTTGATGATTCATGTGTAGGTTACTTTTAAAAGTTCTTTTTCAGGTGTGGATACAACATGTTTTTACTTGACCTCCATGTGCAACCTCAAGGTGAAGAAGGGTTTGGTCCATTTCATAAAACTATAAAGCTCCTGCTACATTGAGCTGCAAGCATGATGCAATTGCGTCATCGAGGAACAGATGTTTGTGACATTTTGTATCCAAACTCTCTCTGCCTCTTGCGCTTGCCTCCCTCTACTTCTCCTCCATGTACTGTATGTGCTTTGCCCTCATGTAAACTCTATCTTTGATGTCAGTGCACCTTCTGAGATATTTATAAGGCTTTCCCATGAGGTTCACCAAATGCATGGAGATGATGCATTTACTTAAATGGGATAAGATGACACATAAACAAAGCAGCATATCACAGCAACCAGGATTTCAGTCTGCCATAAAGTGGGGCGGAGAAGGGGAAAAAAAGAAACAAGAAATAATGACAAAATCAAGCTGTTCATTTGGCAGCAAACACCGAGGAACACTTCAGAGGGAATCCAGGGAAACTGAGTAAGCATATTTGCTTTTCTCTCTGGAGTGTTTTCAGCATGTATCACATTGGACTAAAGAGGAAGCTGTTATCTATTATCAAGGTTTGAGTTCAAACTTGTGTATGACAAGTCATCTATCTGTTTTAGGCTTTTCATGTTCCACTCCACTTCAACCTTCTTCTGCAGATACAAGGTATGGTTCATTAGCAGTGTGAAAAATGAGAGCAGATTTCTCACAGCCAATGTAGAACGCTGTGTTTTGTAGTGAGGACTCTACCAGATTTATACTAATTACAGGCCAGAGGGGGTCCAAGTTGAACCAAACAGCTTAACACACATCAGAGAAAAAGAAAAATAGTTTTTTGCCCTTCAAAGCTTCATGAATGTACGTATCCTCAAACCACAAGCTGCTAATATACCGCAAAGAGAGCAAAATTAAGGGAAATATGAGCCAAATAATAACAATGTCGGACTACTTCTACAGTATGCAGGCTTCCACATGTTTATGTTTGATCAGCTTTATGCTTTGCTGCACATATTTGCTTTCTTGCCAAGAGAAGTGCACTACCAAACTCATTTCTGCCACTAAGTAAAATATACTTAGTTAAAACAAAGACTCCAGACTCAATCATCAAAATTAACTCACTATTTAGTGAGTTGTATGTAGAGGACTATATTGTGAGCTCACTCGCAAAATGAAAACAACATTTTCGGACACTACTTCGATTATTATTACATCATTGCTGTCGGACAGCACAATACACAATGGTATATACGACGTTAATGACCAGTGATGATCAGTTGTACAATACTTTTCAAAACACATTCTGGGATACTTCGAGTGGACTATATAGGGCATAATAATTCTCACCATACATTCAGACAGCACTACAAAATGGTGAAAGTAGTGGGTGATTTCGGACGCCGCCAATGTCTTCGGTTACCTTTCAGGAAGTTAACCTGAACACTTCTGCATGTTTCTCACTTCTCTCTCTCCCACACACATGCAATGTCAGTGCACACACAGGTCAAGTAGACGGTTGGAAATCCAAACTATTGATGGGTACCTTGGGAAATGCCAGAGTTTAGGCAGAATATACTGAGACATTTCTTCCCACACCTGCTGCTTTGTGTCACTTTATCCCAGAACATCCTCTCTGGTCACATTATCCTGGCCTTCCCAGAGACAAGTATAGGATGACTGGCAAGATTATTGCCAAGTGCTTCAAAACTCATGAACATAAAAAAACATGATAAAGATTAAAGGTAAAGAAGGATTTGTTATAGACTAATATACTTTGCTGGCAAAAATAAATACAGTAAAGTGGTTCACAACAGCTCAGTTAAGTTGTTGCATGTTGCTATGAATTCTCTATTTTATGCCAGAAATATGTCATACAGATTTTACTGTAGTACATTTTATAATGACACCCTCTTTTTCACTCAGCTTTCCCCCAGTAGGATATACAGGTAACCAGAGCAACCAGCGGATTCAGTGACATCGGACACCGCCAAGGAGAATTGACTCTTTTCTCCAAGCCACGGGAAACACAGGATGCAATCTAGGCCTCTCAACCATCAGCATGCTACCCAGCAACACAGGCCCAAAGCTTGGGTTACCACCTTACCCTCTTCTCTTTGTGCATCTCTCCATTCAGCAGCAAGAAAGACAACTAAAGCTGTTTCAGGCCCTGAGGTGCGATTTACTGCTTTTAGGCACCAAAGTGGCTTGTTGTCACCATTCGGATTGTGTATGAATTAAACAGGAAGGGCTTCTAAAACACTGATTTTCAACTTAAACATTTTGAAAAATTGTTATGACACTTAATAAAGTTAGCTGGCAGTTAATTCCCACACAATATCCTCTGTACTCATATGAATGAAACACAGGAGGTCTATGTAAACCAGTTTGCATGCACTTGTGTGGAGTGAAGAAGTTTGCACGTGGATGTTTACTGAGGCCTGGGAAACAAACTTAAACTGAATGATCCACTTTCTCAGAACATAAATTTCTGACATAATTAAACACTTCGCAGAACATCACCAAAGGGGGGACTGATGGCAGGAGTTTGTTTCATCTGTCCCAACCGGAACTGTAATGTTTGGCCAAATAAATAGAGGGTATCGTCATTCCCGCAAGCCCAGTAATTAAATGAGGAGGCTTTTTATAGCACTGCTTTGAATCATATCGGTATCGGTTAGATAAGGCTACATGTTAATTTGTATAGCAAGAAGAAAATACAGAACAGTTGGAAAATTAGAGAAAACTGCGTGGTCTTTTAAACCTAATCAGATGTGTTTCCAGTAAAAATATTTGCCTAATCAATCGTTTCCCTTAGAGAAAAAGAAAAACAATCATCACACCATGGATCATTAGGCAAAATGGGCACTGCCTCGATATGGCTGTGCCCAGAAATACAGCCAAGTTAAGTATTGCCAACGGTTGTGATCAACGTTAACAGCTACAATAATACATACAAAATGGTGCTGTTTACTAAAGAAGCTCTCATTAACAGAAGATAATAACTGTAGGCACCAAAATCTGTCTGGGAGACAATGGCTTCAGGCCGAGGTTATACAAAACAGTAATTGGCTTCTGATTAAAATATTGGCAAAATAAAAAGGCGTCAGTAGTCAATTTACCATCCAGTAATTACAGCACATCATTGTTAACACCACTGTCAGTAAAAATAGCAGGGCTGGGAAGAGACATAATATGGTTTAATTTTATGCAGAGGAAATATGCTGGAATGAAGGAGGGCAGAGCAGTGGTGGAATGAAGGTCAGGTAGCACCTGTTTAACATCAGCAACTAACAGCAGGAATATGAATCAGACCATCTGGGTACAGCTTTGCCCATCAGATTACTGCTTGGCATGCAGCTGCGTGACTGTGCATGTGGGCTTGTTTAACTATATTTGTGGGGACCAAAAAAATCATGATTCCACTATGCTTGTGGGGATCGACAGCTTGTCCGGACCAAAATGCTGTGTGTGTGTGTGTTAGAAAGAGACGGACAGACAGACAGATATACAGTATGAGAGAATAACGTGAGAACGATCTTGAGGGGATCAGCAATTATCAAGTCTCTCGATCATAACAGCATTCATTTGTCTTTCATTTAGGTAATTTGCTTTGATATAACCACTGTTTCTAAACAGTACCTATATACTAGGAAATTGGTTGGTGGAGGTAACGCATGGTTTGTAGAATTAAAAAGTCTGAGTAGGACTAAAGAACTTCTAGCCGGGCGCAGAGCTAGACTCTCAGCACAGCCGGACTTCATCTCAGGGCCCACCAAGTCCACTGAGTCTGTCTCAAGCGGGAAGCTTCCGGTCTACAATATGAAGCCGATGCAGAAGTCCCTGAAGCCTGCATTTTATTAAAATCCAGCAGGGGCGACTCTTCTGGTTGCAAAAAGAAGTCCGGCTCCATTAGAAATAATGGGAAAATGACCCTACTTCTCAGCTGAATAATTACCCCAGTAAACACTTTCCTGATGAGTTTATGGTCTCAGTCGCTAGTTTCAAGTCTTCTTCAACACAACATGATGTTCATTTAGTAAATTATGGTCCCATTTATTTTAAAATAGACCACAAAGCAGAGCATGTTTCAGAGCGGGATTATCTATGATTGACAAGTCATTACCATGGCGACCTGTCAATCAGGCTAGAGCCGACTCGTACCCTCGGCACTGTGTAAATTTAACCAGCACCGTTGAAAAAGCTTATTAGGAGTTGGCTGTTAAATAAGCAAATAAGTTTGCCATTTGTTTGAAATACAAACAATGTTACTTTAAAATGTATGTTTATTAAAACATGTCTCCTTAGAATATAGTGTTTTTTGTTGGTAATTGTCATTCTTGTGGTTTACCATTGAAACCAGGAGTGAAGGGACTGGCCGCCCCCATGCACCCACACTACCTCTGCTTATGCCTCTAGCCATTACTTTTCAAATTTTGTCTATTCTCTTTGAGCAGGTCCTCCAAGGCAAAGACAAGCCACTATGTAGGTATCAATAAGATATCTATGTAAATTGTATACAATTTAACATCTCGTGTCTTTAGTAGTAGTAGTGCATTAATGTAACCTAGTAAATATAGTAAGCTGTGTAATAATGCAACAAAAGTATTCGCTATGCTTTTATGAATGAGGAAGCAATGAACATAATTATATGCCTCTATCCAGCAAGTTAGTAATTAGCTCTCAGATGGACAACCAATATATACTCTCAGTCTACCTACTGAAAACTGGAAAAACCTCACTCTCTGTAGGGCAGGTTCTAGCACCCCCAGGTAATATGTTTCCTTGAGAAGCGGCTCTGGTCAGTGAATGCCTTATTTTTATGGGTCAGCTGGCTGCGCATGCATTATGCAATTGTCAGTGTGTATATCTGCTTGGATGAAAAGTTAAACCCACAGCACCCTGTTAGAAATGAAAATAAAATATATTAAATACATACGGACAGAGCTGATTTAATGATCTTAATAGTGCAGACTAGATCCATAGAACGTTATGAACCTCAGTCACAACGGCCATAGATTCTGTCAGTTTGTTTTACCATTAAAACTCTGAGTCCTCGTTGAGAACTGAAGTCTTAATAGATTGTGTTTGTATGGGTCTGCTCTCAAGCTAATACTTCTGCAGAATATTCAACATGATGGTGAGATATGTGGAGCCTTGTCGCTCACCCTGTGTGCATCCACTGACAGGACCAAGAAGAGAGCATGTGCAAGGGCTTCACCTCCCAGAAGAAAGAAACAAATAAATTCATTAACAGAAAAGAGTAAAAGTAAAAGTAAAAGTACATACAAGCAGCCTATGTGTGTGTGCAAGAGAACCAGCTAGGCATCACTGCCATCCCAAACAATGCTTCAAAAAAAAATTTGTGTCACCCAATCTACTGTATGGTATTTTAGCTAATCCCTTCTTCACCCCATATCGTCCCGTATGTAACACCTGCTCTTTCTCTCACGTTCATCGGGACACAAAAACCCTACATGACACCCTAACAGTTTTTTCTGTGGGAAATCTCTTGGAAGCACATGTAGGGTAACATCCTTGGTCCCCACCTCTGCCCGTGCTCCCCCCCTCCATCCGTCTCCCTCTTTTGGACGCCACCACGACAGCTGTGGAGTGGAGAGTGCGCTGATGACGTCCTCAGGGGTAATTGCGCAATAAATGTGAGGTCTAAGGGAGTAAATAAAAACTGTAAGCTGTAAGCCAGAACCAAAGTAACCAGGAGAGAGGGAGAGAGCAAGAAAGAAACTCAGAGAGTGGAGGTGGGGGCGTGGGGGGGTAACTTGACACTAACCACCACCTCTATTAAAAGGAGCATCACCAGCACCACATCTGCCCTATATATAGTTTGTGGGCTGCTTTCAGTTTCGGTTTTCCCTCTCATTGCTTTGTGTGACTCTCACTCTTCTTTTCTCCATAGCGTCCACCCTCCAGCAACCTTCTCCATGGCCCCCTCGCCCCCTTACCATACTACAATCATAGAATGGTGTCATAATATGTATGCAGGCTTTTCTACATCCAAGTGCATCGATGAACACATTGCTGGGAGAAATTTGAAAAGATGGTCCTTTCTCACAAATTTAAACTTTATTTGATTTTTCTCCTTGGAAATGTGTCAGCAGGTAAATGCCAGTGCAGATTATCAGAAAAGGCCTTTCTGCTTTATACTGTGTTAATGGCTCATACATTATAAGACATATTTCATCTTAGGCTGTTAGATGCTGAGCCACACCTCAATTCATTAAATAGCATCAAATCCTCCCATAGCACTCTGCTGCTAGAGCAAAATCTGCTCAATTTACTCATCTATCACTGGAAGGGAAGGACATTAGCAACAGCAAAGAGGAAAGGAGCTACCATTAGCAAGTTTTAATTCTCCACATACTCCACATATCAATTCTGTTATACAAGACAGCAACTGAATAATGTGAGGAAATGTAGATACAGCAATGGGTGAAAAAGCAGAGTACTGCATTGAAAAGAAGTGTGAGATATCAGTTGTGAGTCAGGCTAAAAACAACCATAATAATAAAAGATTTTGATCATTGTTGAGATTAAATAGGCTAAGTTTTCAGGAACCGTGACTGAACAGCTTTCTGAGACTGTTCTTAGGCACATTTGTATTTTGAGCTAAATGCTAATGTCAGCATGCTTACATGCTCACACTGTGTATGTAAACATCAGCATGTATATGTAAAGTTTACCATGTTCACCAACTTAGGTTACATGTTATAGCATACTAACATTTGCTAATTAGCTTATTATTAGCTTATTAGTTTTACAGGTATTTGGTTGTGAACCATAATATTGGACAAATTAAAATTTTGACCTCATGGTTCTAGTAGAGAAAAAGTCAGGTGATTCCCAAAGTTAGTAGGATTCATGCCCTGGGGACCACTGATGTCTGTCCAAAATTCCATGAAAATCCATCAACAGTTTTTGAGATTTGGACATTGTGGTGGACCAACCAATTTACCTACGAACCTAAAGGTCAATATTGTCATCCACAGAGCCACTATGATGGCTAAAAACATGATCCTTCATTTATTAACAGTAGAATAGTATGACGTGTATGAAGGTATACAATGTACTGGATCAGAAAAGTAAGTGGCTTCAAATCTGAGCTCTGCCTCAATTATATGAATTCTGCCTGTATTTGAGTTTCCGCCCACAGTCCACAGAGACCTTAACTTGCCAATAAATTCCGTGGGTTTAATGGTAAGGTGCAGCCTATTCTTCTACAAAGCACATTTATATACTGTTCATTTGTGTTGCTAAATACTTGTAGGAGTGAACATAATTGCTGCTATATGACTGTGCATTAGCCTTGTGATAGACTGGCAACCTGTCCAGGCTGTTTCTCTGGCTTTGCCCTTTTCATGCTGTGATGGGCTACATCCCCCTGTAACGATGAACAGGAGTAGGCAGGAGTGGAAATTAACTTTTTGGCTCGCCTGCCAATGGGACTGGTAGATGAAAAAATCCACTGGCCAAGTATATTTTTTACAGGCCAAAATAATAAATTGCCTTTTTAAGTCACATAAACATTTGTTTCAGTGCTTTTAATTGAGATAGTAAGGTATTATGTCAAATACAAACTTAAAGAAGACACCAGATTGAAATTTAAAGCAAAATTAATTTATTGCTTTTAAATGTACTTAAGACATCACAGTAAATTGTTTTTAATCATTCAACTTAAATCTCATCACTGCTCACTCTTCATCATGCATTATCATTCAACTTAAAACTCCTCATTAATTAATTAACCCATCCCCACACACTATATTCATTAAACTTTCATATAAAGTGTGTCACTACTATAGGCCTATTTTAGCTAGCTAGCTAAATGCTAAAAATACTCCATGTACTCCAAGCACGACTTGACGGCTCCCGCTCCAATCCCCTAACTCCCACCTACTTAAAAATGTACACCAATCAAACACAGAAACTTGAAATTAACATAAACAACAACCAATGAACACCCCTAATCCATGTGAACGCCCCTAATCCAATTTTAGATCCCTAGGTACAGCGGAGACCACAAGAGCGACACACAACAAAAACAATGCTGGTCCACTGTTAGCTAGCGTCAAAAAGATATTATATGGCAATATTGTACCGGATACGTTTACCCGCCAATGTGGCGG